AGTAGGAGTTAGGTAAAGGGGGGGGGGGTAGGGACATACAGGTATAGTCCCATCCAATACTGACTGAGAGCATCTACTGGTCCAGCCAAAAGATGTGGAACAGAAGACCAAAACTGGAGGATCTGAGAATTGAGATGAGTGGCAAAGGCATCCAGATCTGGAACACCCCAATGGGTACACAGCACCCAAAACACCTGTGGGGCTAGTAACCATTCCATAGGGAGAATCCTGTCTGGATGTGATAAGCAATCCATCATGAGATTCAGGGCATTCGGAATATGACAAGCCAACAAACGAAATTTGATGGATGTGGGCCCAATACAGGAGGTCCAAAATCAGGTGTCTTGACCGAGTGTCCCCATGCCTGGAGATGTAAGAGACCAAAGTTGAATTGTTGGAATGCACCATTACCAACCAGCCCTGAAGGGCTGGAAAGAAGTGACTCCCAACCCAATGAACAGTGAGGATCTCCAAGAGGTTGATACGGAGGGAGGACTCAGAAAGAGTCCACCAACACAAAACCTCCTGAGTATCTATATAGGCACCCCAACATACAGAGGGCAGAATAAATCAAGAAAGCTATTTGTGAAAGGAGGTGAGATATCATACCGGAAACCAAATTTTTAAAACAACCTGAGAGAAGAGTTAATATAATACTCAGCTTCAAAACACCTATAGAAACACCAAAGTAAGTTACAACAATATAACCTCAATATCTGTAGGAACACCAGAATAACTACAACAATATAATTTAAGTACCTGTAGAAATGCCAGAGTAAGTTACGACAATGTTACTTCTAAGAATATCATCATTTTCAAAGTCTTTGTTCTGAACTGGTTCTAAGTTGTGATGTGATTTTTTTGTTGTTGAAGACTCTCCCTGTTCAATGAATAAAAAAAATTTTTAACTGAACATATATAAAAAAATCAGACAAGAGTTATTCTAAGAAACAACATATTCTAAGAGCATAAGATTGCACAATGGTGACAGAAGATCAGTCAGCCCACTAGATCCTCCCTTCTTTTGGAACCAACTCTCCAAGATGAACCAAGCTAAAAATGTAGCCCTTCTTATCCAGATACCTATCCAATAAAAATAACAGCACATATTACATCAATAAGCCACTTCATAAGCTTACATCTCTAATACAGTAATAGTTCTGTCAAAGAATAAGTTTCTTTCTGGACTTCCTAAGTTTATAACAATAATATTTCCATCTTGTCATTCCACCAGAAAGACTAACCAAGACCAGTTTATTTAAGCTATTAACAATTCTAAACACCTGAGCCAAAATTTCTCCAGTTCTCTTATACCATTGAGTTGTTTGTTTTTGAATATTTATGCCAATTTACTCAAAGACTATCCATAGCTGTCATCCCTAGATTTGAACGGACAGACTAGGGGAAGGCAGCTAGTCAATAACACCCACCACCAACTCTTGTGTGGATGATACTTAAGATAAACAACATTGTTTATTTATAACACAAGGGAACACAGATAAATGTTTCGGAATTTCATCAATTCCGAAACATTTATCTGTGTCCCACTGTGTTGTAAATAAACAATGTTTTTTATCTTAAGAATCATTATCCTTTTTATTGTGAAACATCGTTTTTCTCCGAACACATCAACTGTGTGAATGAGTAATAGAATTTGACCATCACCTTAATAATGCACCTATGAGAGAGTAATTTATTATTTCTGGCAACAGGACATGAATGAGAGACCATAAGATCCTCAATCTGAGCTGCTGATCACTGGGCCATTCTATGCCTACACCAATGGTATCTTCTTAGATGTTTGTAGTGTTGCGATTGAACACCAATTTTACTTTTTCTTTTAGTTAGTGTTGCTGATATGGAAAAGATTATATATATACATTATACATCACTTTGTTTACTGTTAGTTCCCTTTGCAAGGTACTTGAGTGTAGAATGAGGTATGAATATGAGTTATTCAATAAAATCATCCAAAAATACAGAACATGTGTTTATATCTACTTTTTAAGTGTAATTACAAAACAGATACTTTCAGTCAGATTATTACATTGTTTTAACTGAAACACATGGCCTTATTATCAGTATAGAGAAGTGTACTGGCTGATTTAAACTGAAAGTCAACAACAACACCCAGTATTTATGGATAAGGTAAAATGGTTTAATTATTACTGAAATCTCTGATATCTCAAGAAGAGCTTAGTATTAAATATTAGCATTAAAATATATTATGGTGCATATGTATCTGATCTTAATAATTACACACTAATGAATTAATTTTTTTAGGAACAGCACTAACTTACTCCATTTATACACATGCATACACACAGTGTCCCAAAAGTAGGACAAAAGTAGTGTACAATAGGAAATCATGGAATGTTAACGAAATGAAAGGGCACATCCCAAATGCATTTACAAAACTTGATGGACAGACAGACTCCAGGATTGTGTGAATGGCAACAGGTTTCAATTTGAATACTTATGATTAACTTCCCATAAATAAATTATCAACTGTATACCTACTTTTGGGCCATATTCTCAACAACCATGTAGCTCAAAGTTTTGAATGCTCTTGACAACTTAACCACATTCTCCACATGGTTAAAGAAATCTTACATGAGCTCTACTTTCCCACAATAACCCAGATTTCTAAGTTGCAATCATAATGAAAAAACCACATGTTATCTGGTAGTGGGTTGGAAAGTATTTCAGAGATAATTAATTAACTACTAATAAAAATCGTGTAGACCTACCTCTGGAATATTGAAAGCCAGAATACCCACATTGAAAAGGAGAAGGGAACCAGAGAGAGACAAGAAAGGTAATAACCTAGACCATTACAACTGAAAGATATGATCAAGCACAACTTAATTAGAGCCCGGAACCAGATTAATATTTTCCGTACAGGGTCAGTTGATGTGGCCAATCTTGTAACTACAGAATAACCATCAGAATTTCCATACTATAACTTTTAATGTGTTGTGTATCTTCAGAGAATTTGGCAAAGTTTTTTGTATGCAAAAAATTAATTTTTTAGTTAACTATTTATATGTTGACTGCTTTGAGTGCAAAGTGATTTTCATGTTAAGGTTAAAAATACTTTTCTTCATCTGAAAATTTTCAATTTCATTTGCACAACCTCTAAAACCTCCTAAATAAATATCAAATGTTTTTTTCAGCAAAACTATATATATTTTATCTGTTATTTTTTCTACTCTAACTCTACATGGACTCGGTTCATTTGACCAGCCTTGTAACCACAATAAAAAAATAAGAAATAAATCTAAATTACCCCCCTTTTTTTCTTTCCAGAATGACTGCACATTGTAACAGGAAACTACATATGTTCATTGTTAAAAAACTCACAATTTTGAAAAAAAAACAACGATTATTTTATACACAATTGTATAAAAATTATATTGTTTCCAGTCTTCAAATTACTAAAATACAATAACTTACTGTACAGGATAAAAAGTGATAAAAAACCCAAAGAGACTGGAAAACAGTCTCATACACTCTACATGTTTTGATGCATACTACTGCGTCATCCTCAGTAGTGTAATGTTTTAAAAAAATAACATTTAGTTATACAATTACCCAATCACCAATTTACATATTAAAGAATTTCACATCATCTACTGACAACATTTCCCTCAGCTCCATCATCCTTATTCAATAATTTAAATTTACCTGTTTTTACATTTAATTATCTCAATTGATTCACATATATTCATACCAATTAAATTTCCAGTTTGTGCTAAAATAACATTTTTTTCCCATTAAATTGTGTGATTAGTTTCACTAACATGTTCTGCTAAAGGTGAAATAGCAATATTATCATTTTTAACATTTCTTTTGTGTTCATTCATTCTGAATTTTAAATTTCTTCTATGTGTTAAAAACCAAAAGAATATTTATTAACATTTATTCACCACTTAAACTTAACAGTAGGACTATTTGTAGTCTAATTTAAGCATTAATCCTAATACATAAATGTAACATAAGGCTTAGCTGAAACACTACTTGGTAAATTTTATTTTGCTTTTGGCTACAACTCAATGTCATAAAACTTCTGAATTAAACTATTTTGCTGTTATATCACCAAAGTTACCAAAAAAATTAAGAATAAAAAACAAACCTTTCTAACAAATCAACATGAACACTACAGTTGGCCTAAGAACAATCGGGTGATAGTTTGTTGCTAAGCAACAATGTATATTGTAGAGCATTACCAAAAAAAGAAGAGTGAAAGTGTTCTCAACAGACTGACAAAGGGAATAAGCATTTTATAGTTAGTAATTTCATACTTCAGAGAGAGGTGGTAAATAAATTAGAGAAGGGGGCAGACCTAAAGAACAAATATCATGATTCTCATACTATGGAAAATAAAAGATTTTTAAATGTTTCCTTATAAAATTAAGAAGTTAAAACTTTATAATATCCAAATTTGATTTATTATCCGTGTTTTGATGCCAAGATTATTTGTATACACTGAAAATAGAGCAAATTAATTAAGCTGTAAATGTAACTATAAGAGCTCGTGGCATGTACACTTTGACCTACATGTAGCAAGAGGATTAAAAGTTAATGAACTGGATTCATGTGAGAAACAAGTGGAGAGGACCAACCTCATAAGCGACTGGATCAAATGAGGGGGGGGGGCATATATATATACTTTTGCAGTCATCACATTCTCAGATGTGGTCATAGGTGGTAAAGTAGCAGGTAGCCAGAGTCAGAGTGCAATGCACTGTCCTGGACCTGCAGTGGAAGATTCTTAGAGTAGTAGAACAGTAATATCTGATAACTGCACATGTTGCTGTAGCTACAGTCCTACAGTTTCTACAGGATAAAGGCTAGCAGACAAATTCTGTTCAGCAACCACTGAAGGGGAAAAGGCCTGAGCAAAAAACCATTTTTGTTTAAAATAATGAAAAAATGGGAGAATGGAGATTTATGGATAAGTTAACATAATGCTCTGAATTGCATCAAGGTCATTAAGAACTCTGAATCACATGGTTGTTAACAACATGAGAGCAATTCAACAATGAAATGTTTTCAGTATTTCAGAGGTAAGTCTACCTGATTTGAATTTAAATGCATTTTTTTAATTATGCAACAAATAAATATGAAATCTCATTAACAATCAATCAAGTATGCTCAGCATGAATTAATACAAATACACAAGACATCAATTTCTTTAAGGTAATGCAGTTTGAAATAATAATATGGTTTTATTTGTCAAAAATTTATAAATTCAATCACTATGTCCAGCAAAACCAAATATTGTTTGAAATACTTTTTATAGTGCAAAACTATTTTAAACACTCTACACTCTAGAGTAGAAACTGTGTATAATTTTGTATCTATAATAATAAAAGGGTGTATCTGTTTGTCTGTGTGTGACTACCATAGCTCTGAGAGGTAAGAACCTAGAAACCTGAAATTTTGCACACATACTAAGTGGCTCCTGAGGGTGGGCACCTTAGTACTATTACTTATCCACATGCATGTGCATCTTTTTAATGAGGCAAGCCAGTGAAAAACCACATAGAAAAAAAGTGATTCCTTATAAAACAACTTTTGATACATAGAAAAGCCAGTGCGTTCTGGTTACAGCGAGTTCCAACAATGGCTTTTATGTTATATTGTTTGGCAACAAAAGCATATAGGTTATACTTTTATGCTAAAATGGTTTAGAATACACACACTATCAACCTAATAACCCAAGTGAAGCTGGGTACTTTCACCAGTTTATCAATAAAACAAATTCTAGGATAAAATATTTACAATAAAAAAGTTTTTTGCATAAGACTAAAGATTACTCAATTTTACACTAACACAACTATCACACAAATATAATTATTAATTAGTTGCTCATTTTTTTCTATACTAATTGTACAGACTACTAACTATGGCAATGACTGACATACATTTTTATACAAAGAGTTAATTCTTTCACAACTAGCATGGGAAATGGCACAAGCAGTAGTGATTTTAAGTTTTTAAAATGCAGACCTGTGTAATTTGGATAGAAAACTAGAAAAAACCAAATGTACCTAATAATTTTGAAAACAGAAAAGCTTTGGATAATGAAAGAATATAATTGCTAAAACAAATGAACTAAAACACTACTTATATCTTTATACTGTACATTTCTGAGCACATTTTGACAACTCAGACTGAATGTATATTATAATGAATGTGATTTATTTCCCACAAACGAGCTTCCTAACTAATCTCTGCTCTGTTTGAAATGACTTAAATAAAAGTCATTTAATGATTTGTAATTTCATTTAACAATCCATAAATGTTGGTAACATCTTTTCATATGATAACTACCAAATTATGATGATCAATATAATATATAACCCATTATGACATGCTCTGGAGCATCAATTTTTGTCCATCTTTATTAATTACTTTATTTCTGATTTACATTTCTGGTTACTAAGGATTTTCTCCCAGGTGGCTTAAAGTTGGAAATTATCCTAAGTGTCTCGGAAAAACTAAGATACCCAGAGGTATAATAGTGCCTCAGTGCATGGCATAACAGGTCACACACACACACACACACATATATATATGTGTGTGTGTGTGAATGAAAGCTTTAGAAGTTCATATACCCCCATTGTTTAAGAGGTTTAATGATATTATTATAATATTTCCCTCATATTTACTTTAATTTTAACAAATGATCAAAAATCTAGTTATGAAAATTCCTTATGCATTTTCCAGATTTAATTGGTAATATATCAAACAGCAACTGTCATTTCTAATTCTGGATATATAACTTCTTTTAAACATATTCCTACCATCAGTAACCTTAAAAATATGTGTACAGTTCAACTCCTAAACAAATCTAAAACAACTTCTAAAGCTGTCTTTTATTTTACATTGACCTCATTACACTTATTAAATTATGTACGAAAAATAAACCCAAGATCAAGTAGAAGATTTCTACAAAAGTCTTTCAGGTTATTCAACATTAGTTTCTTACTTGTGATAAAATTCTATTTGAAGTATTTTGAAAGGCAAGAGAATGAACAGAAATATTGTGAGCAGCCAGAGTTTTCACTGGTGTGCTGGACAGCCTGAGATCATATATGTGGACTTTTCCTCGGCTTGTTCCCACTGCTAAAGTCACTCCATCATCCATGAAGTCTACAGCCGTTAGAGGAGCATCACAATTGAATGACTTCACATGGCTAAGAGAAAGACAGTTGATGCAAGCCATACATAGGATTAATATAAAACAGGTATGTGGATCAATCATAAGTGGCACATGAAATTTTCTTGATACGTTTCCAATGTGATACATAATTTTGAAGTCAAAATTCCAAGATTATAATCTACTCAAATGACACAGCATTACTTACAGCACTTAAGACAGGGTTAACATCTCACAAAAGTGTTTTACATGTAAGTCAAATATCTGACAATTTCAAACAAAACAGCTATTTTTTTCATCCTGTCTAACACTTACAGTACTGTATTAACAGATCATGAGGTTTTTTATATAAGCTTAATATTAATTGTGTAATACTACAATTAATTCATAATGTCAATTCAATGCATATAGTTAACCATCTGTCATAATTTTAAAAGTGAGTATCTTTTCATTGTATGGTACTATTAATCATGTACAATGTACATTCAATTATGATGGTTAATCATCTGTCCTGATTTTGAAAGTGTATTCTATTTCTCATGCAGGTCACAATGAAACAAACAGTAATTCTTACTTTTTCATTTGGACATCATAGCTAATTATTTTTTTGTCCAAGCCCACACTGATAAGCAGAATGTTATTGACAGGTGAAAAAACGAGGCCCGTTGCTGGTGCACTGTGAGCAGCAGTAAAGCCATGTATTAGCTGACGGGAATTGACATCCCACAGGGATACAGACCCATCATCTGAGACAGATCCTAGAAGGGATTTCTTGATGAATCCATACTCAAGTCCTCGTATTGCCTGGTGTAAAAATAATCATATGTACACTTCTTGATAATTAAAAAATAAAAACACCAATACTTTTTAATGCAAATAATATATTAATTTACTCCAACTACATTTCCTGATACGAACTTAAAACAACCCTTATGCATTATTTTAAGTTTCCAAGTGTACTTCAGTAGGCCAATTTATATGACAGGTGTGTCTAGAAAATGGATAGTTTTTAAGAAGCTCTCACTGATTTTCTGGTAATCAATAAAACTTTCATTATCTACAAAGTTTGGTAATTAAGATATAAATAATTAGTTCTGAACTATTGGTAAGATTGAGCTCAGTAATAAACAGGGTAAATTTTAACAGATCACTACAGAAAGAAATACCTGAGCTTTAGCATTCCTGAGAGGTGCAGAAGTATGACCAGTGGTAACATTATGAAGGAGGATGTCACCTGTGACTGAGCCAGAAGCTACATATGAATCATTCCAGTTAAAATGAAGGCACGTAATTTCATCTCTGTGACCCTAAAATGACAAAGAAAAGTATTATGCCAACTCAACAACATACCTTATGTGTATTTATTCCTAGATACATGTGTGTATAAAGCTGCAGTTTCTTTTGTTGGATATAGGCACTAAAACACCTTGTTTTATTTAAATGTTGGTCTTTTTTTTTTAAATCTAGAAACAACTTCTCTTAAAACTATTTACACGAAGAAAGTATGAAAGTGCTGATAACCACACTACTGGTACTTGCATTTACATTCATTACTCCAAAGTCATGCTTTTTAAACATAAAAAAATACACATAATCCAAACAACTAACAGATAAAAGAGAAGCACGTAAAAAAAGATTAGAGATAATAACTAACCCATCCCTTTTATCTAGAACACACAAAAATCAACAACAATCCTGAAACTAGGACTATGTTTTCTTTCCATATAACATATATTTCAAGTTAACCTACAAAAACTGAGAAACCCCTTTAATAAAATTAGTAAGATCTCACTGAATTATTGCACTAAAATGTTATGCTTCTCTTTCAAGAATATGATTGTGTGTGTGTGTATATATATATATATATATATATT